GTAGCTTTGTTGTTYCTGCAAATAAATACTTTTTGTTATTTTCCACCTGAAACTGATTCTCCGGAGTAAATGTCTCCGGCTCCAGTTGCAGTTTTCTGTTCTGTGTTTTGTGTATTTTTCTCCCTGCACAGATGCCAACAGTTCACGATAAGAATAAAACTTTTTACTGACCTCACCTTCACTTATAAACACCTGCTCTGGGCGGCATTAGTTTTATCTGCTCTGCTGTATAAAACTCAGTGGTTTTCTTTATGGTTTTCCGTGCAGCTCTGAGGTTAGAACATCTGATTTCAGGCTCAGGGAAGATAACTTTTGTTTTGCAGACTTTTTTGTTTTCATGCTTTGAAGGAAGYCTTCGTAGATGTTTATCATGAGTTCGTCAGTCTGTGATAAATATTGCAATATCTCATTAGGCTGTGTGCAATCTTATTTTTGAAGTTTAACTAAAATGGATACAATTCATCATTTTTTCCCCCTTAAGCGAATGCAAACCTCATCTCCTTTCATGAGAGTTTGAGTAGGATCATTGCATAAGTTCTCTCAGATTATTTCTAACATTTAACATAATTTGAAAAACATTTAACTATAATAACGAGACTGTAAAAATACTGTAGGATGTTCAGTATTTATAAATTAAAATGTATAATTTTCACATGGATGTTATTTACACTGCAAAGTGTTCTGGGTAAATGACGACTATCGAGCTCTGTGCAGTTTGAATGATAATTTTGACCCTTTTTTATTTAACTGAAAATAATGATGGAGGACAACAGAGCTGCTTTATGAAAGGAGAACCTCAGCTTCAGCCTTTTAGTTTTTGTGTGTGCTGCTAAGCTAATATACTTATGGACTATGATTGGGCATAATCGTATCGTGTGCGATTAATCATCAGAAAAACATTAATCGATTTTTTTTGGCACTTGACGATCAATACGATTAATGGTGGCTTTAATTGTATAACCGCTCGCTGCTCCTCTCCGCTTCAAATTTGACGAACATAAAAAAGTTCTGTAATTTATCTGTCAACACAACTTAAAAACTTGATGTATAGCCTGAAGTCTGTTATTTTGACACAGTTTGGAACAGATTTTTACGAAAAGCAAATCTTTCCCATCAAATTGGTCATGTGACCAGGACATAAGGGTGTCAAATTAATCGTTATCGGCTAAGTCACAATTAATCGTGATTAATTTTTTTTTCCAATATTGCCCAACCTTATATATGGATACATGTGGTGTTAGCTCCCAAGCTAATATTTATTGCAATAATATATGGTTTTAGCTCCTGAGCTATGTGTATATATGTCTATATCCGTTCTAATAAATCAACTAATAAATATAGTGTTRGCTCCAGAGCTAATAAATACAGCTCTAGCTCCTGAGCTACACCATATGTACTGTGATATACACGATAGCACACAAGCTAATATAAATATATTACAAATGTGATGTACGGAAGTGAAAAATGTAATAAACAGACCTTTTTTAAGCGGTTAGATGTTTTCACGTCACAAACTAGAGCTGGGCGATATGATCAAAATTTTATATCACGGTATTTTCAACATTTTCACCGGTTTCACGGTATTTGACGGTATTTTTCTTTTCATCACAGCTCAGCTGATAATAAAATGTACAAACCCTGCTTATTGACTTTTTTTTCTTTTACTGTAGCTCTGTCTGTATCGCTGTTTCCCTCCTCTGTGTCTGTTCTTCTCTGACTGGTGGTTGGAGACATTAGTCATGCAGTTTGGTCCAGTCATGAAGGAGGAGGTTAAGAAAAGATTGTGATCGGGTTTATTGTTTTATGTTATTTATTAAAGCTTATCAGCACGACTCTTTTCACAATAAAATCACGTTAAGTCTCCATCAGCATAACGTCTCCATATTAACTAACCGTGTTAAATCTAACAGTGCACGTCACTGAAGAGGTGTTTACTACATTCAGCGACGGCGAAAACGGGATGTATTTTTAAACGTCAGTCAATATAAGCAGCGGAATCGCCACCCGCGGCTGCAACTAGCTGCTCCAAACATTAGCATGCTAACACACATAGCAGTGCGGCAAGGAAAAATGTCCCCTGGGAAACAACAGTTCACTGGCGGCCGCGACGAAACGTTACGCTATTTAAACCAGAATGTCCGGTATTCAAAAAATTCATATCATAACAAAAATAAAAACCGGTATTCGGTACAAAACGGTATACCGCCCAGCACTATCACAAACAACTTTTAGTTGAATAGTGAAATAACACATTAAAGCCAACATGTGACAGTAGTCTGAGATCTGTTTAATCTACCTGTTATAAGCCTCTACAGTTGAAGCTAGGTGGAGAAGAGCAACTTTTATTGACATTTTCAGATTTGATTAACCTTTCCGTCTTCACTTAACTCTGTAAGTCATTAACATTCAGCCGTTTTCATTGAAGCTGATTTTTTTTCTCTCGCAGCTCAATAGTTTTCTGATGCTCCCTGTCCTCGTTTATTCTTCACTTTAGTCAACATTTTACTCTACAACATTTCTTCTATTCTCCCTTAGCTCCCTGCTGTTTTCCCCCCTCTGGGCGGTCTCGCTTTAAATAAATGAATATCTTTAGAAGCCTTCAAACGTATTAATATCCCTGCATTATTACTTTTCTTTATTTGTTGCGAGCAGGGAGATTTAATTTATTGAGATTAGGAGCCCAGGAAACGGCTGAATTCTGGGCTGTCGGATTGGAAAACGAGAGCCGTCTCTCACTTTGTGTCTCGCAGTGATGTAACGGCGGTGCAGTTTTCATTTAGCTTTTCAGCTTGACACCCTCGCGGGATGTCGCACAAAAAAGGAAAAAAAAATTTAGCATATTGAATCTATTAGCGCAATGAAAAATTCTGTCAGTCACACAAATGTAAACAAGCGTGCCTTTCTGCAAAAACACATAATGGGTGAAGTGCAGCCACGGAGCCTGCAGAGGTATTAAAACGAGTCGATGGAATATTTTATTCCTCCATATGAAACTATAATGTGAATTATGAATGCCACTTATGACTCTCCTTTTCTGTTGACTGCTTGCTTCAAACATTAAACATTTGTTGTTTTTTTTCTGCAACCTCTGGACTACAACTTTTTTAGATCTATTAGAGACGTCTTTGTGTCAACTCATTTATCCTGTCTGGATATTCCTGCACTGCAGACTGTTGATTTGACTAAACGTCACGATGTTAAAGGGATACTTTAAAACTCTTGAAGTGAGGTTCTGTGGAGAGGTCCTAAACAATTAATATCTTACCTGCAGTAAACACCAGACAATGGTGAAATCCCACATAGCAGACAGATGTGGGCCAGATCTGGTGTCAAGCTGGCTGACTGCTGGCATGGGAAGTGGTTTGTCAACCAGATGTGGGCCAGGTCTGACAAAGATGGCACCATTTTTAATATGCATATAACACCTCGTCCGGTTGTGGTTTGGTTTATGTGACCAAATTTGTCAACACTACAACTGGCCCAGTTGTGGTTTGGTTTACGTGGCCAAAATCTGTCAACGCTACAACTGGCCTAGTTGGGGTTTGGTGTATGTGGCCCATATTTGTTAACGCTACAACAGGCCCAGTTGTGGTTTCGTTTATGTGGCCCAATTTGTTAACACCACAACTGGCCCAGTTGTGGTTTGGCTTATGTGGCCCAAATTGTTAACACTACAACTGACCCAGTTGTGGTTTGGTTTATGTGGCCCAATTTGTTAACACCACCACTGGACTAGTTGGGGTTTGGTTTATGTGGCCAAATTTGTCAACACTACAAGTGGCCCAGTTGTGGTTTGGTTTATGTGGCCCAATTTGTTAACGCCACAACTGGCTGAATTGTGGTTTGGTTTACTTGGCCAAAATCTGTCAACGCCACAACTGGCCCAGTTGTGGTTTGGTTTATGTGGTGCTGGCCCATTCATGGATCACCTCTAGCAAACCACATCTGGGCCACCAAATTGCCATCATTCTGTGCTGTATCTGGGGTTGAGTACTAGTGCATTGTGTGGACCAGAACTAGGCCAGACAAATGTTTCTATTTGGAATGTTTGGGGATAAATAAATAAATGGGTTTTCAATTAAACAAATCTTTAACAAGTAGCTTTACAGAAACAAAGAAAATGTTGACATACTTTTTATAATACATATATCACATAATGCATACTTTTTCATTATTTTTTGTAACATTACGTCACCATATAGAATTACTTTCATTCTGTAAAATTAACAGAATGTAAGTTAATGGCTCCTCTGAGGAGAACAATGGGTTGATTCAATAAAAGCAACTTCACCTTCAAAATGTTCCATTTTTTATAGATTTTTATTGTTATCTGTGTGTACAGAGAATAGGAAAACCATCTAACTAAACCATGAAACACTCTTAATTTAGTAAAATAAATTTTTTTTTTTCAGGATGGCAGCACTACCTTTTGGTCTAGGCCCAGCTCAGACTAGCCATTAGCTCATCATTTTGTTTAGGATTAAACTCAATTTCTCCAATCTCCAAAATTTAAAATACAAACTTTAAAGATGTGAAGCATCCCTTTAAGCTTTGAGAAAAGGCCTCCGGCTGCTGTTTAAAAGCTGTCGTTCGACCTGCAGCAGGATGGAGTAGCTTTGTTGGGACCGTGGCGTGCCAAAGCAGAAAATTAAATCTCTGAGGAGGAGCGGGGRCACTGATTGGTATTCCTCCTGCGTTCGTCTGACTCCCTTTTCCTCCTTCAGTAGCACCCAGCGTCTCAGCGGTCCTGCTAATAATAAACAGCCCAACAACTGGGCCGAGGTACAGAAACTGAGTTACAGCCTGATCTGATCTTAAAATGGTCTAACAATATTATGGTTTATCGCAATCATTTCTGAGACAATTTATCCCCCAGCCAAATATGTTATCGTGTCAGGCCCAATTCTGGTATTTGGCTCAGAAACGAAAATGTGTTGAACTCCAAATGATGTCTAAGCTTCTTATCAGAYTTCCTTTTGACCATGTTCCCTGTCTTGTAGGTGCCCTCTCCTCCTCCTCCTCCTCTTCATCCCTGTGTGTGAGGAGATCTCCGCCGCCACTTCCAGGCCTCCCCAACCCCTCACCCCCTCCCTCCCTCCACGGCGTTRCAGTCGCGGCCACGATTCCGGGGAGGCTCTGATCCTGCAGCCACGTCAATCACGTCTTCACCGCTGGGTAACTATCAAGCATGCGAGCAGAAACCTCCTGCCTGTGGATTTTTCTGGGAGAAACGGCACAGAGGTTTGAGATTATGCAGTCCCTGTTATTTATTTATTTATTTATTTTTGGAATTTTTTTTCTTTGTGCTTGTTTTGTTACTTCTGGATTCGCTCATGCAAAGAAGGCATTGTCTCCAGCCGAGCATGTAATAACATACAGTCTCTCACGCCCACGCAGACGCCCGAGGCCTCAGGATGAATCTGTAGAGGGAGTCCTATGAAGCGTATTGACTAGTTTGACTTTTGACTCCAGGTATCARCATCCAAATTGGTTCCACTCTGCGTGTCGATTAGACTTACAAAAAAGAAAAAAAAAAGCTCTCCTCATCACGTCGATACAACAAACATTCAGCGTGAGAGGATCCTGACCTCGCAGATAATCCCATCATGAGGCCAGCGGATCTCCTCGGGGACGTGGAGTCTTTTCTGTTCGTCGTCGCGGTTCTGTGTCCTGAAGCGTTGCTGCTTTTTGTTCGCTCTTACTGCTTTTAGCTCGCCTGTTTCCAAATGGATGACAAACAGCTGCAAAGCAGAGCGTTCAGCAGTTAAATACCCGGAGAATAAACAGCGTCATGCTTGATGTGTTGGAGAGACGCGTTTTACTTTGCATCAGTTTAACTTTTGAAACATTTGATAATATGTTTGAATGTCGACTTGAAGGGCTTTTTGTTACTTCATGCCACTTTTAACCTCTTTCTCTCTGGAGCTCTGGGCCTCTGTTAGTGCTGTCTGTTAGAAAATGATAAGTAGCACAATATTATGATGTTTTCCCAACAAACTAAAGGCCTAACTGAGTATCTCCTGCAGCCTTTCATGCTGGAGTTTTAAACTATAATTATTTTATGATAACATAAGACAGRACTATAGCCGTTTTGGTCAAACCTTGAAATGAATGTTACGCATGATCTCATGTAATATTGGGAGATTTCACACTCAGTATCTGCTGTAAATCTCTTTCAGCTACAGCAACATCCAATTTTAGTTCAATATGTGGAAAATTTACTGAATTAGAGCCATTTTTTAAAAGTAGTTCCAACTAGTTGCAGAGGTTGACCTTAATGTTATTTCTCTRTACTACTAAAAATTGTTGTGACCCATGAAAACATCTAATTACTTTAAAAATATTTAATGTTTATTACTTTTTCTGCTTAAACACATCACCATTTTTTTACAAGGCAATATATTTTGGGTATGATGATGATAGGTTCCATGTCCTATGTTTATTCAACTAGCTATGGCGGTAATGCTCATGAGCTAATGTCATATGTATATTAGCTCGGGAGCTAACTCCAAATAATGCTATAGATGTATTAGCTCAGGAGCTAACTCCAAATAATGCTATATATGTATATTAGCTCGGGAGCTAACTCCAAATAATGCTATATATGTATATTAGCTCGGGTGCTAACTCCAAATAAAGCCGTATATGTATATTAGCTCGGGTGCTAACTCCAAATAAAGCTGTATATGTATATTAGCTCGGGAGCTAACTCCACATAATGCTATATATGTATATTAGCTCGGGAGCTAACTCCTAATAATGCTATAGTTGGCTGTGTCCAAAA